TGGAAGGAGAAGAGATGAGCAAGGTTCTTACTCAACTAATAGTATCACAAACTAATTTTAGTGCTTGGCAGATATCTAAAGCCAACTCTTTCTCAAGGAGCCCTTTCGGAGGTTTTTCAGAGAGCCTCTCCCTGTTGGTGGAGATTTCTCCTATACCTAGTTACTTTAAAGAGGGTGGATTTATTCCCTTTGTCTTTTTTATCAATAGGAAAAATAGCCTTTTTAAAAATCATTGCTATTAGAGTGTTCACTAATAAAATCACATTTTCTAAATATAAAGGATTATGTAGCCAGCTATTGTAATAGCTTATATAAAACATTTTAAAATTTCTTTTCCTCCAGTTTCCCAGAAGTCTTCTGCTGTACTATAGCTACTCATGCATAGACTCTAAAGACTATGATTGTCAGTTAGTTGGGGTTTTTATTTGTTTTAAACTTCAATTCTCTTTTAGTAAAATCTATTAGTTTATAATGCTCACTGTAGCTCATCCAAGAAAAATAAATACCTACACTCTTTTTTTTTTTAAGGAGCTTGTAATATTTGTTCATAATATATATAAAAGTTTAATAAGAGTAAAATTATTTTCCTATGCTTATATAAAAATTTAATTTCAGAGTTGTAGAAAGTCGATTCACTTACTATCTACTTAAAAAATATTTTTTATTGTTGACAGTATTACATAGTTGGTCACTTACAACTCCTTTGAAACCTCTAGGCATTTAAAAAATCAATTTTATTGAAGTATAATCTACAATAAAATGCAGATTTTAAGTGTATAGTTTGATAAGATTTGACAAATGTATACACCCATGTAACCACCTCAAAATCAAGATATAGAAAATTTGCCTGGCCAGAGTGGCTCAGTGGTTGTCAACCTATGAACCAGGAGGTCACGGTTCAATTCCCAGTTAGGGCACATGCCCAGGTGGTGGGCTCAGTCCCCAGTGTGGGGCATGCAAGAGGCAGCCAATCAATGATTCTCTCTCACCATTGGTGTTTCTATCTCTTTCTCCCCTCTCCCTTTCTCTCTGAAATCAATGTATATATATATATGGAAAATTTACTCCATTCACAGGAAATCAACCCCACCTGCAGGCAACCTTCTAATTAGAAATCTGTAGGCATTTATCAGCATTATCTCATGTTTCCTTCTGCTGAGGTCTCCTCAACCTTTCAGATGCTATCTCTGACAAGATAAAGACACTCTACTAGGTCTCTTATGTGGCTCATACCTGATCTATGGGGAGCACCCATGCATCCCTTTGTCCTGGAAGATAGCGGGAATATTAGGCCAATCTCGTATGAGTTCTCTTGGGTCCCCCAAACACATTAATCATATCAATCTCTCCAAGTAATTTCCTTAAAACCATCTCAACTTGAATTGAACTGGGGTGGGGGACTCAAAGCCCTCTAGCAAGTCTGTCTAAAGATCTCACTCTAATGTCTGAATTTCTGGCGCTTTTCTCAAGGTGGGTGAAATGATTAAGTGCTATAATTTTTTCATCGCACATCTCTTTTGTGTGTGTGTGTTAATCCTCGCCCGAGGATATTTTTTTCCATTGACTTTAGATAGAGTAGAAGGGAGTGGCAGGGAGGGAGAGAGAGAGGGAGAGGGAG